TTAACTTTACCTCCCTATTTTTACGCCCTATATTTCTTTTATTAAGCATTTTTTACTAACTCTATTATAGTTCGTCGTTTTCGCTAGGTTAGGTAATAGCTAAAAAAATTATATAAATTACTATAATTCTTTAGGTTAATACCTAGCGGCTAAAAGAATTAATAGATTTATTATAATTCTTTAAGTTAATAGTTAGCGGCTAAAAGAATTATATAAATTACTATAATTCTTTAGGTTAATAGTATTAATAGATTTACTATAGTTCTTTCGGCCGCTAAGTAATAACTAAAAGAATTATATAAATTACTACGATTTTTTAAGTTAATAGTTAGCGGCTAAAAGAATTAATAGATTTGTTACGATTTTTTAGGTTAATACCTAGCGGCTAAAAGAATTAATAGATTTATTATAATTCTTTAGGTTAACACTTAGCGGCTAAAAGAATTATATAAATTGTTATAATTCTTTAAGTTAATAGTATTAATAGATTTACTATAATTCTTTTAGCCGCTAAGTAATAACTAAAAGAATTATATAAATTATTGCGATTTTTTAAGTTAATAGTTAGCGGCCGAAAGAATTAATAGATTTGCTACGATTCTTTAGGTTAATATTTAGTAGCTAAAAAAATTATATAAATTACTATAATTCTTTAGGTTAATAAAATTAATAGATTTATTATAATTCTTTTGGCCGCTAGGTAATAACTAAAAGAATTATATAAATTATTATAATTCTTTTATTTATTACTTAGCGGCTAAAAGAATTAATAGATTTACTACGATTATTTTAGTTACTTTATCTTTATTAAGTAATTAAAATAGTAATAAATTAAAAAATGAGTTTTTATAAAGAGTATTATATAGTTACTGTAGCGAGGTAAGCTATTAAGTTTTAAAAACTAAATTTCTTTTAAAAAAACAACTTTATATAAAAATTATAATATTAATTAGAAGACTATAAATTCTTAAAAAAAGGTTATTAAAATAAAATAAAAAGTTATTTCTTTTATATATATTTTTTTTTTTTAAAATTAGATCGATTTAAAAATAAAAAACTTTTTTTTTTGAAAATAAAAGTTAGTTTTTTTTAAAATTTTCTTAAACCTAAACGGATTTTGCCTACTTAATAGCGGACGATATAAATAAATAGCTACTTAGCTACGAATATATACTTCCTCTATATCTTAGGCTTAAACTAAAAGTAAAACGGCCTTAACCTTTTTTTAAATAGTTTAGTATAGTTCACTTCGAAAAGAGCGTTCTATATAACTATTTTAAATATAATAATAGCTTTAATATAATTAACTAACCGATTAAATATTATATATACGAACTATAATTAAGTGTTATTTAATTTACTTAGGGTACCTAGGTCGTCGGGGCTATTATTATATTTTATAGCGATTAAGTTTTATAATAATCCCTTTTTTTTATTAAACGCTTTTTAATAGAGAGCCGAGCCGAGTTAACGAAGCTATAAGTTAGGCATAGTTACGTCGTCCTTTTTATTAATATACTTTATTTCTTTATATTAAATATCGTTACTTTTATTTTAGAATGCTTCGATAGCCCGCTAAAGTTAGATATATAACTTGTCCTTATAGCGTTATATTTACTTAGGATCTAACCCCTTTATTACCTCGAATAACTCGTTCTTAAGTCTATTTTTAAATAATTATTAATAATAAACGCCCGTTTTTTACGGACTATTATTTTACTCCTCTTTTACTATAATAATAAAACGACGTCCGTTTTTAAATTTTAAATTTTAGTTATACTTAACTTTAAAATATTTTTAGATCCGCTACCGGTCTTTATTTATATACTAATAATCGGCTAATAACGTACTATTTTTAGCTACAAACTTATATTAAAAACCACTTAGACCTAGCGGACTTAACGTTATAATAGCTAATATAATATCCGGCCTAAATAATAAATTAATATAGGCCTTTTATTAATTTAAAAAAATATTATAATTTAATGCTTACGCTTTTACCTTTTTAATTTCTTAATTACAGAAAGTATATAAATTATTATAAAGATATACTTTAACTTATTTTTATATAACTATAGTTTAGTATATATAGTAATATAGAAGCTAGAGTTTTAGTTTATAAATAAAATAGTCTATTATAAATATATAAAAAATAGAAACGTTATACGTAAACCTTATATACTAGCTATTAGTTATAGAATCGTAATATATTCTCTCGTCCTCTTTATTTAAAATATTAAATTAAATTGAATGTTATTAAATATCGTTAATTATAATAAAATACGTTATTACGGCTATTATTAAACTCTATAAGTTAAAAATACGACCTAGTTAGCTATAACGACCTAGTCCGTATTTATATACTTTATCGTTTAATAACTATTAAAAGAATAACTAAAAAAGTAGATTAGCTCTAAAGCGACTATATTTATAAAAAGATATACTTTTATAAATATTAATTAACTTATAATTAATCTTTTTATAAACTTATTTATTTTAAACTCCTTATAATAAGTATAGTGCCTAAAACGCTAATCGTTAGTAAACGTTAATTCTAAACGTCGTAACCCCTATATCTTATTAGCGCCGAATTTTTTCTTATATAAAATCAGTCGTTAGCAGGCTATCGACGCAAACTATTATTACTAAGCGATTTTTTTATAATATTAAAGGGCTACCGTAGCTAAGTAAATTACGTTTTATAATAACGATTAAAAGAAAAAGTAATTTTTATAGAATATTAATTAGGTACCGTAGCTAAGTAAGTTACGTTTTATAATAAAGATCCTTTAGTTACTAAGTAACGACTAAAAAAAGGGAGGGCCGATAAAGTCGATATTAATATAGAGAATATACGTATTTAGAAGATCGTAGGGAAGTAAATACGTAATATTATATTTAATCCTAGTTCGATTCTTAAAATAATAAAGTAAAGAGTTAAAGTCGTTAAATAACTAACGTAATTAGTTTACTATACTTATTTATAGAACTTTCTATACGCTAAGTAAAACCTCGAAATACTTATTATAAGCGCTATTTATAAAAAGACGTTAATAATATACGCCGCTCTTTTATAGTCCGACCGCTTCTTTTTAATATTTTCTTTAACGCCCCGCTATTATAATTTATTTTTAGCCGTAGCCTTTTTTTAAATACTCTTAAATTCTCTATAGATCCGCCCCGATATACGAATAGCTAATACTTATTTTATATCGAAATCCGTTAACTTTTAATAAATTAAATTACTAAATAAGTATATACCCGTTAAGCTTTATTAATAGCTTAAACTTATTATCCCTATAGATAACGTCTAATAAAAAAACCTATTTAGAAACCTCGTTGATTATACCTCTTATTAAATAATAAAGGAATTAGTGAAAGTAATATCGAAGTTATAATATAATAACGTAAGTTTAATAGTTACGGTATATAAAAAGCCTAATTTTAAGTATATAGTTAAAAGACTCCGGCCTTAAAGAAATACTATCGGTTTTTTTATTAAACTGAGTATTACTAACTATATTTTTTTTTTAGTTTATTTTAGGACTATCGGCTAGACGATATAGAGGAGGTAACGAAATAACTATATCGTATATATTTATATCGCCGGGGTCTCCTAGGTTAAGCTTATAGTACCTCTATATAAGAGGGGGGGTAGGGGAATATAGATCCCCGGCCTTTTTTAGGACGGTTAGCTAATTATATAAAAAAGAATTTTTATACGTTAATACTTTATATTCTATATTAAGTTATAGCCGTAGTGCGGGGTAAGAATCCTAAATAAATACTTATAATAATCCTTTAAAAAGTATTTAACTTAATAGTATTTAAAAAGATATATTACGATAACTAAGAGCTTATTATAATACGTAAATAGTTTTTATTATTTAGTCTTAACTAGGTCCTGAAGTCGCCTTTTCTATAGGGGAATAGCTAAGTCTTACCCTTTTCTTTAGCGTTTTTAACGTTAAGAAATAATTAACTTTTCTATATATACTAATTTTAAATACTTTAAATAGTTCTCGTAACCCTAAGTCGAGGAATAAATATTAATAAAAAGAAGTTTATTAGTAACGCTTAATTAAAATAGGCTATAGTCTTGCGGGATAGGCTCTATTTAGCTTATACGTCTTTTTATACTAAAATAAACGGTATCTAGTTTATTAAATAAAAACTACGTTTTTATTAGCCTCTAAACTATAATCGTTATATAAATTAAACGGTCGGTTTATTTAGTAAACGTATTTATTGGTAATATTTATAAATAGCTATTATAAAAGTCGCGTCGAGATACCTTCGTTCCTTTAAACCCGAGTTAACGTTTTTTTAATAAGCTTTAAGAGCCGGGATAAAGGCTAAGGTTCGGTTATTAACTCCGGCCCTCGTTTAAAAAAGTAAATAAAGTACTAGCCCCGGATATTACGGCTAGCTAGTCGTAGTAAGTATATTAATAAAAGTTAAGGCTATAAAAGCTAAATAAATAGTATCGTAGTCATAAATAGCTTCCCTAAAGCTATATCTATAAATCGTAAAGTAAATAAAGCTTCGGTAATTAATTATAGTCTTATTAAAAAGGGTTTTTAATAAAAATAACTAAAAGCGATTATAAGATCTAATACTAAGTTAATTACTAAAGAAGCTATAAAAAGTCTATCCTTAAGCCCAGCTTAAGTCTATACTATATATAAGTCCTATATACTATCTAAATAGTTTTTTTATAATCGGGACTAATATTATAATATCGGTCTTATAAAGGTAGACCGCCTTTATTTTATTAATCCTATTTATAAACCGTTTATTACCCATCGGTCCTTTTTATTATTACATAACTTATTTATAGTTCTTCCGTTTTACTAAAGTAACTCCTATATTAGCGTCCTTATATATATATAGCGTATCGTAGCCGCTATAAGCCTATGGGGCAGGCCCTAGTCTTAGTTATGTATATTAGGTCGTAACAAACGCTAATCGTTAATAAACGTTAATTTTAATTATCGTAACCCCTATATCCTACTAGTACCGAATTTTTTCCTATATAAAATTAATCGTTAGTAAGCTATCGATATAAATAATTATTGCTAGGAAGTCTTTTTTGTTAAAAAGCGGAAGAAACCTATTATAGTTATTAAAAGTCTCCTTGACCAGCTCTAGAGCCACTGCCTTTGAGGGAAGCTGCCCGCGCCCTGGCAGAGAAAGTGGTCGTGACTCTGGGAAAAGATGAGGCCACGGACTGCCAGCTATGGAGTCACTTACAAAACCACGGACCGCAGGAGAATCGGGTTGGCCGCAGTTGTGTGCGCGCAATGCAACATCAAGATCAACTCCTGGACTGTCGGTGTGTTTTGGTGACGGAATACGTGACTCGCTCATCGGAATCCATGAATTACTTTCCCTCGTAAATGTGATCAGTGCCGCTGTATTGGGTGATAGTGCGGGATTGGTTTGCTCTTCAGGCCGGTTGTCGCCTGGCACAGAAGACTTTTCTCCTTGAGAGCTCATGTTCTCTAGTGCTGAGAGCCTTTCTTCAAGCTGTGCAATGTATTTGAAGCTGCGGAACGTTAAACAGGTACAACTCAATGGAGCAGAGTACTTAGTAGACTGACCCAGCTGGTCTGCGAGGCTTCCTCTTCATTGCAATTAGCGTGAAGTGGCACTTTGTGCGATGTTTTGTGCACTGGGCGCATCCTTGCGCGGTTGATTCACAACGGATCTTTTTCTTGCGGCACATGTCACAAGCCTTATGTTATAGGGTTAAGAGAGACTACAATATGCGAACTCTTCGGGTCAAGTCACACGAACAGTGGCCGGCTGCCCCTCGTCCCCTTTAGTTGGCAGGACCTGGGAAACCATTTTTGAATCCTTGACTTGATGTGCAACTGTCGTATCCAATGGAGAGGCTGCAAGAAGAATCCTCGAAAGGCTTATGCTTTACTTCTCAAAGGCAACTTCGAGAAACCTGGTGGAGCAAATTCTCGTAAGGTAAGATGGCACTTGATCAGTTCCCAACATGAAATCTCATTCCGTTTGACGTCATGGTCAAACAGCAGATTGATTATAAATCAATTTTTTTGAGAATTATTAAACTTAGGCGCAGTAAGATAAGCCGCTTATTAAGCCCGGACAACGTACTCAGCTTTTACGCAGAGTTATTAGCCCAACGTGAGTACTCCAAATATGATGAGGTACAGACTGCCAATCATGTCCACGCCTCAAATCGGTCAGACCATCCAAGTTGGGAACTGGGCTGCCAAACACATAAGCAATGGTCATTTCGGCTGCTTTAATGATTTGCGGGACTGCCGCCTAACGCCAATAGCCTGATGCCGCCTTGGACTAACTTCATGGCACACACACCATTCTTGTCGTTGATCAATACGCTTCAATACCACTCGATGTACCGTCAGCCCAATGTCGTTCGCTCCACCTTATCTGAGATCTAAGCCAGGGAGACAGAAAGACACTCAAGCATTTAGTGACAACGCTCAATAGCTCCGGAAACCCTCCAATTGAGGTATAACTACCATTTCATGTTCAACATGCCTTGACCTCGACAACGCCTTATGATATTCACCGGACTACTCAGCGACCGGTGACGACTTTCACTTTCAAATGATATATTTAATCAATTGCAAGTCGCCGGCGAAAAGTGCTGCGCCATTTGCCGAATGATGCAAAAAGAAACCTGCCTGTCTTGGGGAGATCACCCTGAGTTAAGATTGAAGAACCGTCGGCCACACAGCACGGCTATGATGGAGAGCTTCTATGTGATAGTTCTGAAGGGGAAATTTATTTCTATAAATCGGCATTCTGCAGAAATCGAAGGGGGGGGTTCTGACCTTTCCGCTTTATTGGGCTGAAGCTGATGATTAAAATATCGACCGTGCGTCTTCAACTTGATGTGCGACCCAGGGAGGGGGCATATACTAACTCTTACCGGTTGCCTACTTAAGCTTAGATCCTCGGTTGTTCAGGGTTGTTCTATTCCATCAACTGCGGAATGGCGTCAGTACATACGTACGTACATGTTTGGGGAGTGATAGCTAATCACTCGTTAACCCGACCCTATTTCCCTTATTGCCTTCAATAACATAATTTATAGAAGAGCAGAGTTGGAGAAAACTGGAGAACGTATGTACTGACGCTATTCCGCAAATGATCGGATAAAACTCGCGTCCATCTAAATTAGTAGTGGACACATGACGCCTCGTGTGATCGCTCCAAGTCTTCCGCCCAAGTTTCTTGTGACCAAAGTAAAACGCGCCTAATGCGTTGTCATGAGAAATAATAAATTTGTCTCGCCTATCGTCGTTCCAATGCTCACGATGGAGGACTTCTCCGATAGGTAAACGTGGCTTGATAGCAGGAGGGTTGGAAACAGAGTCTGGCTTTCCGACGGCAGAATCGAAAAGAAGAAACGGAAGCACTGGGTTGACTGATCCAGGCCGTAAACTCAGCTCGAGCACGATAATTCTGCACGACGGAGCAGAGACGGATCATACAGGCCTGCTTTCCGATTGGATGATTCCTGATATAACACGTGGCCCTCGAAATGATGAGGATAGCCACCTTTCCTTTTGCCAAGCGCAGGTGTGGGTTCTCTGGACGAATTTATGGATTCTTGCATTGAGTTTCGCACTTTGCCTGAACCATTTACAGATTGCACGGGCAACTTAGATGGCCTTGCTTCAACACCCAGTCTCTCTTCCCAGCCTTCTGATATTGACCCAGAAGCGCTTGACTAAAGGTTGAGATCACCTGCAGAAGAAGCAGCATAGTCGTGGAAAACTCGAATCATCTTGCACACGGACGGGTCTGCCGGCGGCGGGATTAGCGGGACAAATGAGTGTAAAGTGGACAATATCCAATCGGAAACAGATAACGAGGAGCAGGATTCATTGTGGAATACTATTTTGAGCCAGTCTCTTTCCCTTAGACATCATAACCCCGCACTTGCCGGCCCCGAGCGCCCGAGGGTGTGGATGTTCCTGCCCAGCAGCGAAGTATGCCATCAGCACTTGTTCCGGAAGAAGAACAGACGTTCACTGTTGATTGGATTGAACCATCATCAAGGTTATTGCCCCGCAGTTCTCAGGGACATCTACGATTGAGTCACCGTAGTAAAACCATGTTTCTTTTTGGCCGCCTGAGTATACAAAGCCCGAGGATATGTAAAATGGCTTCTAATCGGGTAATCACTTGGCAAAGCGGTTAGAATAATCTGTGGATTCTCATTAGCCAGACTAACATACTAAGAGTGGGACTGCCCACCCTGGCAAAAGTCTTAGCCAATCGGCTACTCCCACCTCGCTTACAGTCGAGTCCGATGCATTTGCTAAGAGCAAATGGCTTAGTGGTCAGCCGCGTTCAACTCTAAAATCGTTGCCTATTGATTCTAACTCCGTTCAAGTTATGACATGTATAATACTATGCAGCGTCTGGTATCCACTCCCAAGTATATCGCGCTGTTGTACACAAAGGGCACTCGGGCGACCAGGCGGATAAACTCCTAGACAAGCTGCATTAGCATACGGCGCAGAGCCTCTTGATAGCGTTACATCGCTCCTGACAGCTATGCACCAAGGACCGTGCCGACGATGGTTTTGCCATCTCTGCCTCCGCGGAGAGCCGATGAATGCAGTCAGCCTCGGCAACCCGACTCTGCATAATGTATATTAGAGCCTAGTGCTACATAGGGAAAGGGAGAGGACTATAATGATTTTGCGTCCAATTAGCCTGAACGATTTGAGGAAAGCGTGGGCTCCTCTCCACTGAGAGGTTTTTTTGAGTGCATGAGTCCGAGACGTACGCCGCAATACGATCCTGCGCCAAGGGTTACGCCCACGATAGCTTAACTTTTGTCTTCTTCCGCCGAGAGGCAATGATAGCAATCGGCCTTAGTGACCCAAGCAAAAGAACCCATTACAACATCGTGCTTACGGTGTTGTAACATCGTTTATGGCATTGCAACATTGTGCTTATGGTATTGCAACATCATGCCTCATCCTACACATTCAAAAAAGGCTAGTACACACATCCGCTCTCGCTTTCAATCCCTGATGCCTCGGAAACAATGAATTACACGAGAAGCCAACGGAGGAGAGTGGTAGCAGACTAGACTGGATGAGAGGACGAGACGCGGCGACGAGATGTCAAAAACTCTGTGATGAAAGTCTTCCAGAAATGCATAAAAGGCTCGGTCCTGTCTCTGCCTGGAAACTCTTGAACCCATCCCCATTCACCTCAATATCTTTAGCCTCTCATCAAAGAAATCAGTTTTACAGCAAGAGACCTGCACAGTTTCACTCTCGAGATCATATTTCCGACTTTACCAAGCAACATGAAGTTCTTCGTCGCCGTCAGCCTTGTCTCGGGCCTCTTCGCTACCGCCGCCTCGGCCATTGACCTGCACCTCGAGTTTGCGGGCGGTTGCAGCACCAGCGGTGGCGGGTACGTCTGCCAGGGCTGGAACCCCAACACTTGCTGCAGCGTCAATGCGGGCACCTATTTCGCCAGCGGCTCGTTCCGGGCCATCCCGCGCAACTGGAACATCCAGGCGCGTGGTCACGCCGGGCCCAACTGCGGCTCCATCCGCGAGCAGCAGGACAGCGCCGGCCGCGACTATATCTGCCTCGGAAATGGGCCCTTTGGCGGGCTGGGCTACGGCTTCAACAATAGAAAGATGATCCGCGGTGCGACCCTGGACGCCCGCAATGGCGAGGAGACTGAAGGGTGCGCCCAGCCCAACGTCTTGTACCTCGCCGACGGCACCCAGTACAACTACACCGCCATTGCCGAGACTGGCCAGGCCACCGAGGAGCTTGTCTCGCTTGTCGTGGCCGGCGCATCGGCCGACGATATGCCTAGCTTTGAAGCATTCAAGCTCGACGAAAAGCTCGTTCTGTAAGCGTCAGACGCGACTTAAGGGCGCGGCCCGCTATCATTCCGTCTCCAAGCCTCATGGCGAGTGCTCGAGCTGTTTTTCAGGTTGCGATGCGGCCTAGTGCCTAGGTTTTGGCATTATCATACGCCTCTTGTCCTGTAATCTGACCATTTCTGTTACGGGGTAGCACTTTTCTCCTTCTTCATATGCTCGGCTTGTCCGAGCAAAAAGAAACACTATCTTTGAAATTACGGTGAATTTACTTTCGGTACCTAAGTAACTCAGTTAAAAAAGACAAGCCCCCCATTACTGCGAGCTATACACTCACCGGCCAATGCGCCCTCTAATTGCTTTCTCAGGTCTCTTTGCCGAGCCAAGTGTAACTGCTGTATCTACAAGATGTGCCATGTGCTTGTCCCATTGAGTGTTACTAAACTATAGAATAAATCAGTCTTACTCACTGTCATACCTAGGCTATCTAATAGTAAGGATCTACTAGGAAGAGGACAATGATACGCAGATAATATCCGTCGCGTTATACACAGTCAATTGAGAACAATCAGGGGGACATTGTTTCATAGGTGGCTCAAGGAATATAGAGTTTCGGGTTTGTTAACCGCTTGTTTCCTATTGGGTTATCAAGAGAGTCTAGGCGCTTACCACCTACATTGGGCAGAGTAGCTCCTTTTGGCGCAAGTTCTCATTTGCTGAGAAAACGAGAATCTAACACATGCGTACATCTAACCAAAGCAGAGAGCAGGACACATGCTGTTGTTAATAGAATCCGGATTTCGAATTCTAATAACTCGCAAAGATGCCTGGTCTACCTCGCTCACCCACTCACCTAAGTCTCGCAACCTAAGGGCCTCGGGTGATCTGACTGTACCTGAACGACAGAGTGGCGGCTAGTCGGTTCCGTCCACTCCTTAGCAAGGTAATCTAGCGGCTTATGTCCTCTATTCAACTGATTCGAACGTTACACTTCTTCTTGACGATCGTATTATTTCTGATTTAGACGTGCTTACGAGAGGGCCTCGTTGTAGGAGTTGGGTAGGAAGAGCTAAGAATGTTTGATGTTATCCCTGCCGGCTCTTCCTCTTCGGATTCGACGTACTATTGCCGCTTCCTGCGCCTCTTCCTCGATGCGGACAACTTGGGGCCTTGGAGCTCTGCAGAAAGAATCTGTTGCCCTTGTTGCCGTTTTCGAAAGCCTTGTCCTCGTTCTAGGTGACGTGCTCGTTCTTTTATAACGCTAATAGCCAAGTCTATGTGGACTAGTGAAAGTCCGTTTGCCGTACTATCGGCTTTGTTGGCGTTTTGGCACATCTTGCAGCCTTGAGCGACTTTCGAGGTACCGTCTTACGCCTCCGACTTCATCAACCATGTCCGTCTCGCTAACGAAACGAACACACGGCACGCCCGACTCCTCCAGCACCACATCGAACAGAGATAAATGCTAGAAGCCCAGGAGTAAAAAGATACGGATAATTCCTGAATAGGGAGTTCCACCGCTCCCTACATTCTCGCGTCGTAGTGGCTCCGTTTCTTATAAGAAGCTAATACGTACTGAGGCTATGAAGAGTGCTTTTATACAACAGTTTACTACCAGCGAAGACATTGCAGCCTCACCACGAAGTCAATAATTGAATATGAGGCTATACAAAAATGGAATCGGCACCATTAGGTTGGAAGAACAGGTATTGAAGTCGCTTATCTACCATATACCTTGGTCGCTCTACTTGCGTACTACTTAAAGGCACACACACACCAAGGCTTCAATTGAACCCGCTCAAATATCGCACCCAACGTACGAACAGGATATCTTTATATCCCTTCCCGTTCCTAATCATACATCCTTGACTTCTTTCTGTTACAGCCTGGCGACGTCGGATCACAAAAGCTGGCTGGCAGCGATTGCTCTAATTCAATCGCGGGGTACCTTTCCAGCCGGTCTCCAGCGGGAGTGGCTAAGTTTCGTGAAGTCACGACAGGTTGTGATGGATGCTGTGCGCGTCTTCCAAGACTGGAGCTTTACTGGAAATTGATTATGGCAACTTCCTTGGCCTCGTTGTTCCTGCTACATCGACAGGTCTTACATCGTAAGTAAACTGTTCCATAAAACAACAATGTTTATGATCTAATAAGGGTTAAGATATCCAGGATATAGCATGAATGTGTTCTCTGCTGTTGGTAACGAAGGAGCCCTAAAGCTTTACCCAATCCCGACCTGCGGTCCTCTAGAGGATGACGAGTGATTTATCTCCATGGAACGTTACTTCTAGTGGTTATGTCCATGCCCGCACCCCTGCCGCTTCCTCATTCTGGCAACCTCAGCCCTAGCATGGATATCCAGCTCTTCTCCGTGAACGCCACCTACAATCCTCCGGGCCATCTTCGCCGAAACCAAGTCGTCGTTGGGAAACTTGGGTGTAATGTTTCTGCCAAACGTAGAATGAACCCCGTCCTCAAGATATACAACTTCGCCTCCAAGCATAGTGAGCAGAACCTTGTTCCTTCCAAGCTCTTCGTTGGGGACTTCTGTCACGTAACAAGGATAGGGACCGCAATCCACAAAGTGCCTGTCACGTGCTGTATCACGTGTATTTCACTTACATCCTGTATATAGACCTTTCTCTTTTGTCTATTACCACTTTGATAGGTTAAGCCACTTTACCACACTCCGTATGCCCATTGCTGTGTGCCATAACTCGTGACAACTTCAAAGGAATTCCCCTCAATAACGATAACATCAGCGAGCTTTCCGACTTCCAGAGATCCAATTTGTTCATCTGCTCGTAGAAACTTGGCTCCATTGATGGTGGCTGCTTTCAAGACCGACTCGCGGGAGATTCCTGGCCCTGGAAATGGGCCATTGTAGAGCTCACTGATTGAAGCTGCGGAGTTGGGATTGGATGGGTCACCTCGACGTGTCATTCTGCTTTGAGTGCCAACCATACGTCGAGAGGATTAACCTAGGACTTTTGGTCAGCAACTGAATTTGCGGAACTTCTTCATCAAAGGATTAATACATACAGGCCAGTCACTCCCATGTCTCACGGGCCTTCCTTCTGCCTCGATCTTCGCGTAGGCATCGAGATTGTCCATTCGATATTCCCCGATGCTTCGCAACGTGTCTGAGACCCACATGGGAGCCAATTGAGAGAACTGGAATTGGTATACTACGTCGACACCAAGCTCTGCAAAACGTGGTCAGTCTTCTTCGAGGGTGAGACTGGCATGTGCGAGAGCGAGACGAAGGGGAGGCGCGTCAGGATGCGCACGGTGATAGGCATCTGCGGTGTTTAAACTGACATGAACGGCTCGATCGCCGTCAACATGTAATTGGGCATCAACACCGCCCAAGCATAGTCCCTCAAGAGTCTTGGTCGAAATTTCAGGACCCCAGTACAATGGCGCAATCGCACTTAGGTCAGGGGCCCACTCCTGGGTATTGTTTGTTCCATTACCCATAGGAAGCCAGAAGGGGTCTGTGTTAGCCGCAGTCCAAGCTGTGAACGGCATGATACCGCCCAACAAAGCCTTTATCGCCTGCCATTTGAGAGTGGGCTGCGCTGTACTAGTCAAGTTGTCGTTTCGAGAGCGAAGCAAAGCGATGGTTTCGGCGACGACGGCATCAACTGCTGCCAAGGTGGCGGGGGGCTGAATGCGATAATCAAAGTAACCACGGGAGCTGAGTTCGGAACTCTGCTTTAGCATATTCCAAGGGCCTCAGTGCTCATCTGTGGCCAGGGCATCTTGCCAAGTCGTAATGCCGTTCTGACGGAGAGTTTGTTGAGCGGCTCGCCCGGCCTCAGCATTTTCTTCATCAGTGAAGGCGGGAGGACCAGCTATGAGTATATTGGCACCATCTAAGAGAATTCCAGACGCTTCCTGCGTTCCGCCTAGGCGCTCTAGTTGGATCCGACGGCATACACTCTACCCTCCGGCGTTACCTTACGGATCTGGCGCCCGCTTACACAGGGTTATTTTGCGTGTATGGATACATTCCAACGAGCTCCATCAACTGGCCTGACAAAGACTTCTACGCTGGTAGCTGCACGGTCTTAGGCAGACCAGGCAGTCTATTCATGGTTCCCGAAGTAGCTGACGGTATAACGCTCATGGTCGGTACCCAGTTTCCATACCCAGAGCAAGGCCGCGAAGGCTGGCAAACGTTAGCTGCTAATCTAGAGTCATTAATTGCACTGCTGTACAATGACTATGATTAATGGCATAACACGGCAAGATAGATCCTCGATCAGTTATGCAGCGTTCTAAATTGCCTTTTGAGTTGGCCGTTTTACGAAATGCCAAAGTTGCCTACTTGGTCGTCATTGTCCGGAAATGTTATCATTATCGGAGATGCCGCTCACGCTATGCCAGCATCCTCCGGGCAAGGTGTTAATTAGGCCTTGGAAGATGCCTATTCTCTGTCAAGGCTTATCGCTATAGACTGGATAACGGAAAAATGGCTACTCAGCCTTGAGACCTGGTAATCGTGGCGATAGGCAAAAATTGACCGCGTGCTTCTAATGACTTAAGCAACAAATCTAAGAAGATCTGCAGAAGTCACCAGATAGACATCGATTGTATCAGCTGATATGGAGCCGACACTGCTAGATCCGACGCGGTGGCTGTTTGACTTGGGTATAGAGAGCTTGGACGCAAGATTGGTAGCAATCTAGGACTGAGGTCTTAAGGAAGATCTAGGAAAGGAATGAATTCATATATGTAGAAGGCATTGTATTCATATGGTAGGTGATGCTCTTAGTAACTAGGTTAGGCAGGACCCTTGCCTTTTAAGCTACGTGGACTCATTTTCGTCGGTTAAAAGAACCGATTCTACGGGCGATTTCCTAGGCACCTTTCGAAGAACAAGGCTATATGTGTCAAAATTGCTCCCGTTATTATCCTAGAACTCAACCATCTGGACTCAAGCATTCTAGACTTGAAGTAAGAATGTAGTAGGGGTTTTGATCTTTCTATCTTCCAGCCCCCAAGGTAGATCTCTATAGCGAAGTGCGTATGATGCAGAATCTTACTTACTCTGTCTGAAGTCTTTGTGAGTTATACGTGCAGGATTAGAAAGGGGGATGACTTTTAGCTGTTCTGTATCTTCTTGACCACGAGATAGCTGACTTGTAATCTACTGTGGTACAGTACGACTGTATAAATATCGAGTACTGAGGGGCCCTTATATATGAAGTACCGAAGTAAGATTGCGAAAACTTCATTGTATAGATATGATAAGTTCTTGGTAATATTAAATAGAATATTAGACCTTTCAGAACATTTGTATTCAGTCCCACCTCCGTGTTACCGAGTTAACCTTGAAGAACATACTGAATTTTTCTATGCCGTATTGGGTCTGTTTCACCTTCCTCATTTCTGTCCTTTCTCACCTATCTGATTGGCCCACCCCCATGTTGCTGGCAGCGGCCCAGAAAAACGTACTTGGCAAATGTGACCATCCCGACCAACATGCATGAACATTGTTGTGAAAGAGGGGTATGTCGTTGAACAGTCGAGAGTAATAAAAGACGACTTACCACGCTTGGTAAGTAGACCAATACAGCATTCTTTTCCTCGCAACTTGTGTTCTCTCCAACGAAGAAAAAGCACGACGCTTTCACCTCAGTCAGTATCTGGGCATCGGCAACGGCCCAGCATGCCAGCAGCACCTGTAGCGCCCATCGCGATGAGCTTGCGGTCGTCCAATGAGTCGCCAATCATTGTCGATGAACAGGCAAGCTTCAAAGGAACCGGTCATGTGGACTGTGGAGTTAATGAGCTATGATTTCTCCAGCACGATGAAAACGCGACATCAGATGCCAGCAGCGTTAGTCTAAGCTTGTTGCGTCTTGGGAATGTCTTACTAAAAGTACATTGATGTTTGTAGACCATAGTATCCTCAACGACTAGCCTTGCAGACTCGATTTACAACTTTCGTGTGGAGAATGGGCGCACATATCATCGATACAAGGATGGAAGTAAGGTCCTTCTGATATTCTTCTCACGCCGCAAATTACTTTGTCTACTTATATGATGCATCTCTGACCTGTAAAGAATACTCCTATCCCAATGATGAGAGGGAAAGTGACGGACTGGGTAGGTCAGCTTTCCGAGCTCCAGCTTCCTGGAGCCCAATGTCGCTCATGAATCCTGCAGACCTCCAACATCATCAATTCCTCCTTTCCTTCGATGGAAAACTTGGCCTTTAACCGCCGGACGAAACTGACTACCCCGCCAAGCGTGTTCTCGATATTGGTACTGGAACTGGGATATGGGCAATTGAGTTCGGTGAGCTCAAGCCCGGAGCAGAGGTAGTGTACATCAGTTCAAATCAATGAATTCATCCACTGATGATGATACTAGGTCATTGGCATTGACCTGTCTCCCCCTTTGGCCGATTAAGACTCTCCATTCACACACTGCGACCTATGATTCCCTGACCTAGTCAAGAGTACCGCCCAACGTAACGTATGAGGTGGACGACATCGCAGAACCGCGGACGTTCTCTTTGCCATTTGACTACATTCACAGTCGAATGATAACCTCTAGCATATCTGATTGGAGACGACTCATTCAAAATGCCTTTGAGTGCGTATCTTGGTTGACCCGTTCGCCCCAGAACCCCTTTTACAAATTCTGTCCAAAACTAAAGTAATCTCACGCCCGGTCGCTACCTCGAGCTCCAGGAGATGGATCTCATGCCCCAGTCCGATGACGGTAGTCTAAAACCCGACGCTGCGATTGTGCGGTGTTTTGCTCTCCTTGGGAAGGCGGCGACGGCTCTTAACCGATCCTTTCAAGACATCCCGGATCTCGTCAATGTGATGAAAGACATAGGTTTCGTCGACGTCTCAATCAAGAAGGTGAAGTGGCCAACGAATACGTGGCCCAAGGAGCAACACTATAAACTGCTAGGGGAATGGGCCCACGAGAATTGCATGTCGGGGATCGAGGGTTGGACCATGGCACCTTTGACACGCGGCCTTGGCTGGAGTAAACAAGAAGTTGAGGTCTTTCTGATCGAGCTGCTAAAAGAATTCAAGGACCGAAGCATTCATGCATACTGGCCTTGGTAAGTCACCGACATCGCTTTAACCGCACGGCGCTGATAGGAAAATATCGTATTGCTTACTGTGTTACTGTATAGTTATGGACTATATGGAAGAAAGCCTGAAGCTACATGTAGGTGATAGATTCATGCGTATGTACCTTGCGCAAAGTTTTCCAATGAAACGAACTGCGCCGCGCCACCTGCTTCAAGAACTTTTTTCCATTCACCTGGCATGTCATTCCATCGTCAAATGGCCACATTTTCGTTCACTTTGAGAGAAAAGTCTTTTTAGATGTAAAGAATAAATATCAACGTCCTTGCCTATGCCCCAGTCTTCGAAGTAGGACTGCCAGACCTATCGGTCGTCACAGAGTGTGTACTGCCTTTGGAGGAGGAGCTTCCTCTATTCCACATTTCGAATTCCCTCGCTATGTCGTCCAGCCCGGTGTCAACTGGCGACAGTGATAGTTCCGTTGAGGGGTCGTCCGAGATCTTGCTGAACTTATCTCTCCTATAAGTCGGTTGGTATTCCTCGAAGGGTGTTGCATCAGTCGTTTTCTTTGGCTTTTTGCTAGCCAAAAATCGTAGTAGTGGCCGAAGTGCAGGGAGGCTTGCACACAGAATTGCACACGAGACTTCAACTAAAGACCAATTGATGACGTCCACGTTATCCCAGGTAACATCAGATGTGAAGGAAAGATGAACCAGAAATTTCAATCTGACCATGCTGGTGACGCATCCACTAAAGTACCGACGGAATGGTCAGCGAGTTCTCTCCGTAAAGGGACTGGCTACTCACAATGACCCTAGCCCAAATATCAGACTGAGCCAGAGTTTCTTCTTGGTACTGAGCTGAAGTCGAAGAAGCTCTGGAATTGGAAGAATAAGGATAGCAATGTCCTCAATGACGCTGAATACTGCACCGGAGTAGCCAATTGCTACAATATTCATGCATTTTCTAGATGGATCGTCGAGATTCCAGGTTGAGGTGACTGGCGTGCACTCGAAAATGACAAGGAAGAGGAATATTGCCGCGTGCAGAATTAAGAACATAATGAAGAGTTGGGTTGTAAGATAGAACCATCGAGAAGAGAAGAATATGCGCGAAAAGAAAAGCAGAAGTGAGATCTTAGCCATAATTTGGGCCAAGATATAAAGTTGTTCGCCGATATAGAACATCTGAATGAGTCTTGTGCTTGCCCAAGGTTCGACATGCCAGTAGTGCAAGCCGAACCCTAGACCGGTTCCCGCAATTTGTATGCCTGTTATTGCGGCGAGAAGGATCTGGTATTGGTTTGTCAGTATCCGATCCTCATACGTCGCTCAATCTTCATTCTTTATATCACATACCGTTGCTGCAATGATCATCCAATCATCCCACCAAAGTCGGTGGTCAACCAGGTATCGTGAAATGCATCGAAGTCCGACAACAGTGAAGGCAATGATAGATAATGATATTGCCACTGCTCTTGCTTCTTCTCTTCTTGACGGCTTCGGGAAAGTGGCACAGAGGTCTGTCTCAACTTGAGCAGCACCTATTGAGACATAAATCATCATCGATCCCATTCATGAATGGCGTCGCGCATGGCCTTACGCTTTTGGTCCTCGAAAGAACATTTCAGACGAACACATGACGACAGGTCCGCCTGGAGTTCAATGTCTATACATAGACAATTGGCGATAGTAGAGACAGAGTCCAGCTTACAGCCCCCATGTTGGAGACCAGTAAGAAGGCAAGGAAGCTGCAAAGATGAATAGCATGTCAGTTTTTAAATCCCGAGACTCTATCGTGCCCCGAAATTTGAGCTACAAATACGAATCGAGATCAAGTTAGGTGTACTCACCGCGCATGATGGAATCTGTGATACAAGGCTGGTGAGAGTGGTTTCCGCACCCCATACTGAAGAGAAGCATGGCAATAGCAAGAGCACGAAAAGGTGATGCTTCATTTGCCTCATGTTCGCCGAACCATTCCACGTGGAATGGAGAACGTTGCCAAACGTGGACCTGAAAAGTAAACGCAGATGGAGGAGGAAGGGCACAAAGTGCCCACTCCCAAGTGAAGAGGGCTTTTTTCTGTACATAAACAGTGGATGAAAATTGGAAGGATGCACTAATAACGGGTTATGGCGTATGGCGTCCCTCTGAAACGCTGTGCCGGTTGCTAGTGTCCAAGCATCTCTGCACTATTGAGCACTAAACTTGCGCCGTAAGACACCAGCTCTTGATGCCACAGCCAATTCCGTGTGATCTACCACCTCAAGAGAGGAAAAGGGGTCAGTCGTGCCGTCTGCCAGAGGACGTTTTCGGGTCAAACACGTTGCCGGTGCCAATGCAGTCACGGCAATTATGCCAAACACGTCGCTTACGCGCTCTATCGCAGTCCATATCCGGATAGAGAGGACAGTCAAAATAGGCCGTTGTGGATATACCTACCTTCAGCAGGTAGAAGAGACCTAAGCCTAGAAAGATCGTCAGGGTCACATTGAGAGTCAAGGTTGATATGGTTCCTTTGTCCGCTCAGCTTGGCAATGATAATTTGGGCAAGGAGAAGTTATCATCAACGTTGTCCTAAATAGCCTACCAAGTTTGCGGCGCAAATTCTGGGGTTTGCAGGGAAATGATCATGCCCTCGTCTTTCGATCATGACGCCCTTTTCGTCATTTCATTCTTCTCATTTAGTCCTCCCTCTGCGGTAGTTACTCGCCGTAGGGAACAAATCTTTATCCTGAAGCGGGTTCATATAATCATAGTTCCTAGCCTAGGACACCAAGTCTTGCTTAAGTCTCTAAGGAAACAAACACAACGCTCCTGTTGATGGCACTTGGAAATATGGGAGGTAGCGTAGGGCCATATTCTAGCTGACTTCATGTGTCTCTATGACTAATTCGTTCGAGGGAAGAGGCAGGCCTCTACTCAGAAAAGTTTCGCATACGTGGACCGAGTTGTAAAGACTAAACTCTAGGTTTCCCTTACTCTTCAACAGCAACTTTCATCGCTAACTCTTGAACATCGCCGAACAAGAAGGAAAAGTATTTCGAGTAGGTAATCAGTAATAATCAAAGAGTCGTAGGCCATTTACATTCTCCGGAAAGCTGGAAGATCCTGACTGCTATCATCCCACTACTTATTTTCGGTCGTGAATGTGATGAATGTTCTGTCGAACTATCTTCATCACCTTTGAACAAAACAGGTGAAAGGGTCTTTTCGTATTATGAAAAATTGATAATTGGATCAGATTAAGTTTCCAGTCTAGTTGTCCCCCCCGTCCTGTTTCCAAGTTCAAGCTGGTAAAGTGATAAACCCTTTAGACGTGACATCCTGGATTCCTTTGAGCCAGACATTTGCCATTTTGACATATCCTCCGTCATTAGGATGCCTCGTGTCAGTAAGATCGTCGAGAGTCGGAGCGTCCGCGCTGCGCATATCAACCATCGCGAACTTGGCCCCGGATTGCTGAAACTGTGTTGCCAAGGCTGTGTACTGTTCGTTGATTTTGACGCGACATGTATCTTGTTCCGGGACTTTGTTGGCGAGAATTGATGTAAGAATCACAGTGGCTCCAGGACTCTGTTGATAGATTTTGTTGATCATGGCTGTGACGTTGGCTCCGGCATCTGGTACCTCTCCACCTTTGTTGCAATTGTTGGTGCCAGCGTCAACTAACACGAGGTTGGGTTTGAGCATAGGTACAGCCTTGTCGGCAGAAGCGGCTATCTGGTCAATTTTGAAGCCACCCGTTGCCTCGACGGCATTGTCGGGAAAGTTGCCATTGGCTCTTGTGCCCACGTACGTAGCATTCATGCCCTTAGAGACGAGTAAGTCCTGCAGGTCTTTCCGATAACTGTTTCCAGTTGAAGACCCGGTACCGAAGGTCACGGAGGCGCCTAGCGCCATTATACGTAGTGGTACGGTCGGCCCTGGCTCTTGTCGTGGAGTATTTGGAGCCGCCATCGCGCCCACGACGCACATTGCAACAAAGAAAGGGCAGCGCATCCCGAATTGGTAGGCGGGTCGAGATCAACTATGGGATTGTGAATACCGCAGTTAAGCAAATGAGGTCGGGAACAGCAAGCGACAATATTTGAGTTTAGATGCCAGGGCCGCGTCTCTTATACCTGAAAGTTCTTTGGGTGGAAACTCAGGGTTCGGACGCTTTTTGCGCCTAAAGGTATCATTCGAGCTGATGTCTGATACTCGCACGGAACCGGAAGCCGTTTCACTCCCAGTTGGCTTGCAACACAGACTTTCCGGCTGCAAGCCTACATCTCCTACCACACTCCGTGTTTATGGATACATTTCAACATCATTTCGACATGCTTCATCTCGTCATTTGCTGCCGATAACAACACTCAAGAGTAAGTCTTAGTCTTGAGGTCTTCGAAATTTCTGTGTGGCCAGCCTGATGCCTCGGCGACGAGATGATTAGAAAGACTGAAGTCGCTAGTCGCATTGAACTGGAGGTCGGAAAGACTTGCACGAACTTGGTATTGGGTAATTGAGGCTTCAAGACGTCTAGAATTATGGGCTTTTGTATGTTCAGAAGAACGAACGTTCCAGCAGGGATGAAGCCATTCCAATGTGAAGCAAGCCTCAAACAAGCATTCATGCTCCGGCTAAGAACACGATTGGTTACAACGGTCCAAGCTCGTCAAAGATATTTCGTCTGTCTAATGATAGGGAAACGTTGAGACGAATATTGGATGGCAGCCTTGGCATTCTGAGTAGCTCGAAGCTGGGCGGCTAGGCCGTTTTTTTTTTTAGAAAAAAAAAAGATTTGCCTACTTCCTTACGTACCTTAGGGTCAGCCGTCTTATCGACCTCTGCTTTACCTGGATCTCAGTGGCATCACCAATTACCTCCAGTCAACCCGCTTTTCGCTTTGAGAAACCTACAAGCTTTAGGGGTCAATCTGAAGACTCAACAGTGCAGCATTGCCAATTATCTTAAACGAAAGCTGCCAACAGTAGGTCGGTATATGCCGATATCGCAGACAACAATTCGAATCAGAAGCGGCAAAGACGGGGGCCTTCCGCGGTCGGGGCCCGATGCTGCGTAGTAAGCCGATCGGTGACCCTCAAGCGCTAGCGGTGGCTTTGCGGCAATCCCACCAAGGGCCAAATCCCGAAGGCGCGTCACGAATTCTGTCGACGGGAACTAAACACGGCAATGTCACGCTCGAGCTGCTGCTACTGCTGCTGCTGCTGTTTGTAGCTTCGCACTTGTTTGGTTACTGGCTATGTCGTACGATCATAGTGTTACTCAAAGTAAACCCCAGTGCCATGGTGGAGGACATGTGCCACTTCTAGGACTCCACAGAATGTCAAGGTGGGAAAAGTTGCGCCATTTCGGCTTGGATTATCGTGTGGCTGGGTTCAATGTCACCAGACGAAAAAGCCGGGAAATCCCCGGAGAAACATGTCCACTTATCCACCAAAAAGACCCCAAACCCTGGCTTTAAGCTTGGTTTGTGTAGTAGCGGGCAGTCTCCGATGCGGAGAGCGCGGGGTAGACCGGAGCAGCCCCGGTCACCCCGCCGGTGGTCTTCCGGCTTGACCATTGGCTCACCACCGTGCTGGTTCACTTGTTGTTACCTACATCAGCACGATCACACACACAAAGTTGGCTGATGATGACCGCTATTACTTACCGGGTAAAGTCGAGTCATGAATCCACTCTCTGCAGGTGCCCATCGCATCTTCAGAATAGGACCGATTGACCGTTGCCCATCTCGGGCTCTGCTTCACCGGCGATGACGTTTCCAATGCAATACTCCTGGTCGGTAATCAGCGATCGACGACCATCATCTCGTCTCGGTCTTTGTTTGATTTGCAGTCGACATATTAAAGTTCTTTCTAGCTACTGCGTTATCATTTCCTCGTGGCACTTCACCAGTGCCCTTTGTGATTGCCCTTCGAATTCTCAACGTGGCAAGGCCGCATCGTGTTCATTGAGAAAATGAAGATTGCAGGGTTCTCTCTTGCTGTTGCTCTTGCCAGCTCTTCAGCCGCAGCACAGTTAAATAGCACCGCGCCATCTGAGGTGCCATACTACGGGAGAAGTCCGCCAGTGTACCCATCTCGTAGGTCTTCGTAACCATTAGTTAAGCTCAGACTTATCTGACATGAAGCAGCCATTGGTAGTGGCTCGAGCAACTCTGGTTGGGCCGCTGCCTATCGCCATGCCAGAGGATTGGTCTCTCAAATGACGCTCGAAGAGAAGGCGAATATCACCCGAGGGTGGACTGGAACATGCGTAGGAAATTCCGGCGAAGTTCCTAGACTCGGAATCCCAGCACTGTGCTTTGCTGATGCACCAGACGGAATTCGCGGTCAGGAATTCGTTTCCGCATTCCCGGCTGGAATTCACGTTGCTGCTACCTTTGACAAAGCCCTGCTGTACAAGTATGGCAAGGCACTAGGCGACGAGTACTACGGAAAAGGTATCAACGTTGCTTTAGGGCCGGCTGCTGGCCCTCTCGGGAGGGTTGCTCGTGGCGGACGCAACTGGGAGGGACTGTCGAGTGACCCTTACCTTGCAGGCGTTGGCATGGGCGCAATTACTCGCGGCATCCAGAATGCTGGTGTTATCGCCACTGCCAAACATTGGCTCTTGAATGAGCAAGAGTATCGCCGTCGGGTATCCGACCTGGGCGAGGCGATCAGTTCAAACGTAGACGACAGAGCACTACATGAACTCTACGTTTGGCCCTTCATGAATTCTCTCAAGGAGGGTGCTGCCTCGGTCATGTGCTCGTACCAGAGATCCAATCACTCTTATGGCTGCCAGAACTCTAAACTCTTGAACGGTATCTTGAAAACCGAGCTTGGCTTCGAAGGTTTTGTCGTTAGCGATTGGCAAGGCCAAATGGGCGGTGTTGCCTCAGCCAACGCAGGGTTGGACTTGGTGATGCCGGACGAGGGTTTCTGGGGAGATAAGCTGATCGAGGCTGTCAACAATGGTTCTGTAACCGAACATCGACTCTCCGACATGGCCACGAGGATCCTCGCTGGTTATCACTTCCTTCATCAAGAGCATGCCTTCCCTGCTCCAGCAGTGCACTCGAATCTGCAAAAGGCTTACCCAGTCGATGTCCAGGATGATCACGCTTCTTTGATCCGCCAAATCGGAGCAGCCGGCACAGTCTTGGTGAAGAACACCAATCATACGCTTCCGCTCAAGAATCCCAAGTTTTTGTCTATCTATGGCTACGACGCAACGGTCAAGGCGATCCCTTGGGAGAATCCAAGTCGCTATGGCGGCGGTTACGAAGTCAACTTCGGCTGGGAAACATTCAATGGAACTTTGATCACTGGCGGTGGCTCTGGCGGCAGTACTCCCCCGTACGTGGTTTCACCATTCCAGGCGGTCCAAGAGCGAATCTCCAAGAACCGAGGCATTCTACGATGGGATTTCTACTCTGAAAACCCCTCTCCACCCTACGTCAACTCTGAAGCCTGCCTTGTTTTCATCAACACGTATGCCTCTGAGAGCTTTGATCGCCTGAGCCTCACGGACGAATTCAGCGACAATCTTGTGCAGAACGTAGCCGCAAACTGTTCGAATACTGTAGTCGTGATCCACTCGGCCGGTAAGTGGAAATAAGCGAGACATATCTACTGCAGGGGTCTCTTGGATGCTAATGAATCCCAGGCATTCGCACTGTTGATGCGTGGATCGAACACCCTAACGTCACTGCTGTCCTTTTTGCCGGGCTTCCTGGCCAGGAGAGTGGCCACAGTCTTGTGGACGTACTATGGGGCGACATTAATCCATCTGGAAAGCTGCCTTTCACTATTGCCCGGCAGGAGTCGGACTATGGAAGCCATCTTAACTCCAGTGCCTCTGATGACTTCTTCCCTGACAGTGACTTCACCGAAGGCCTTTACATCGATTACCGTTACTTCGATGCACACAACATCACTCCTCGCTATGAGTTCGGCTTTGGTCTCTCATATACCACTTTCAGCTTTGCTGACTTGTCCGTTGTGCTCACGGCAGACGCGGATACGTCAGAATACCCCGATCCCAATGTGTCGATCGTGCAGGGTGGCCATCCATCACTGTGGGAAAACCTCGCAGTTGCAAAGGTGTCTCTCACTAATACCGGTGACGTGGATGGAACAGAGGTTGCACAGCTGTATATCGGAGTTCCGGGTGACGACACGCCGATTCGACAACTTCGTGGCTTCTCCCGTGTCTTTCTTTCTAGTGGGCAAACGCAGTCGGTCGCCTTTGAACTCACCAGGCGTGATCTTAGCATCTGGGATGTCGAAGCTCAGCAGTGGCGTTTACGCCGGGGAACTTATAACGTGTGGTCTGGATCATCGAGTAGAAATCTGGTTCTGCAGGATACTATTGAGATTCAGTAGCGTACTATAGTTGACTTAGTAATCAGCCCTTGAAGTAGTCTTGTCAACAATTCGATGATATGGGTATTTCATCTCATTCATGCATCGTGTCCTGACTCTTTGTCTGATGATCTCGCCGTCAAGAAAGTAGTGCTGCGTCGAGTTTATCTATTAGGTGTTGACAGGGATGGTACGGAATAATTACATGTATACATGTATTGACATGATCAGCAAGCCACATAAATGCCTCGTTCCCTGCGTGTCATCGACGCGACGCCACATTGTTTGTTGCAGATACAATGATGCCCTTAGCCATGTCCGGCCTAAAGTACTCAGATAGGTAAGTAACACCATGCGCTGACTAAGGCCGACTCATTTCTTTACTTTTCTGCCTCACATTCCTCATTTTCTACTTTTCATCACGAGAAGCTTCTGCAAGAGCCCTCCCGCATCACCATGAACACTTCCTACCTCAACATGCCTTCGAAATCATCTCAGATCAATCTAGATGCGGAAATTGTTTATGAATATCATCGAATGCATATGGCCGTCAGTCCTGCTAAAGCCATCTTCTGCCTTTGCAGTCTCGACACACGAGTAGCTACACGCGCAGCACAGCTTTTCCTCGCTGGTTATGGAGAATATCTCATCTACTCTGGCGGATCAGGGAAGCTTACGGAAAATCGATTTACAAAACCAGAAGCCGAGATGTTTGCAGGTATTGCCAGGGAGTTAGGGGTTCCGGCCGACAAGATTATCGTGGAGCCAAACTCCAGCAACACTGGCGAAAATGTTCGGTTCACCCATGCCCTTTTGAAAGAACTAGAGCTAGAGGCCACGAGCTTCGTGCTGGTTCAAAAGCCATACATGGAAAGGAGAACATATGCAACCTTCAGCAAACAATGGCCGGACCCCAAAACGGTGTTCACTGTGACAAGCCCTGAACTGGGATTCGCCCAATATCCGAATGAGGAAAACCCTCGTGACTTAGTCATTGAAATCATGGTCGGAGACTTGGTGAGAATCCGGGAGTACCCAGCAAAGGGCTTTCAAGTTGAGCAAAGGATTCCTTCCGAGGTTTGGGAGGCAAACCAAAGGCTCATAATCGCTGGCTACGATGGGCATTTACCTTGATTAATGGCCCAATTTATCGATAGAAATTGGAAACCATCTCTTTTTTTTCTGGATCTGAATGGAAGACCCTTCCTAGGATACCTCAGATCATGGCACCCCTCGTTCCAAGTGTTCAACATCACTTCCTACCAAGCCTATTTTCCCTCTTCATCCGGGCTTCCAAAGTCCGCTCTTGCTTGTGATGCAATGTCATCGTCAACAAGCACTCGTACGGCAAGCATTGCCATACCCTTAGCGCACGTGAGAGCCGCCTTGTGAGCTTCGTCAGTTGCAGCAGCGGCCGCGAATTTGGGATTGTGGCCTGCCACATCTGGCGAGGTCGGGATGACGAAAGCGCCGTGGAAGCTAGGCACGTGATAAGACACGTTCCCCATATCTGTTGAGGCGTTGAATGGTTTTGCCTGATGAAGCTGTATTGTCTGACCGATCGCGGCCATATCTTCCACATATGTCTTGCATAGGGTGTCATTAGCTCGTAGGTTCATGTACGTCGGCGCCCTGTAAACACTGCATCAGCAGGGTCGTAAAAGTTGCAGCGCTCATAACATTTACACAATGTAGTTGATCTCGCAGCCCGTCGCGGCTGCGCCTGCTTCCAAGCATGCCTTGACCCTGTTCAGCAGTTCATCGGCGCGCTCGATTGTTGGGCTGCGGACATTCCAGTTCATGCGGGTATAATCCGTGATGACGTTGGGAACGGTGCCACCGACTTCGATTACACCATGAACTCTTTCGTCTGACTGAATTTGCTGCCTGAGGAGAGCCACGTTGCTGTAGGCTGCTACAGCCGCATCCAACGCGTTCAACCCTTTCCATGGCTCGCCTGCTGCATGAGCGGGCTTCCCACGGAATTCAACGCGGAACTTATGGCTTGCAATGAGCTTAAAGCCTGCCAGTCCTGAGGAACCATCTCCACTGCCGCCCTGATGAGCTGCAGTTGGGTGCGCCATAATGGCCGCTGCGATATCCTCGGGTGGGTTGAAGGCACCGGCATCAATGAGTTTCGCTTTGCCGCCTCCCCCTTCTTCGGCTGGGGTTCCGAGAATGCGTAGGCGCCCGGGAATCCTTAAGTCGACGAGTGTGCGAGCAGCCCCCAAAAATGCAGCAATTGAGGACGTTGCAATCAGGTTGTGTCCGCAGGCATGGCCAATGTCTGGTAGAGCATCGTATTCAGCGCAAACAACGACTTGACGGCCGCCACTGCCTATTTCGGCCTCGAAGCTCGTTTCGAGGCCATAGGTATGCTTTTTGACGGAGAACCCTTGCTTTTCTAAGTAAGCTGTGAGGGTGTCGTGAGCAAAGAACTCCTTGTATGCAGTTTCCGGATTTGCGTGCAGCTGTTTGTTGATGTCGTTGTGAAGAGAAGAGTCTAGGTCATCGAGGTGTGCGTTAATGATCTTGCGGGCCTGTTTGAAGTCGAAAGCCCCCTGTACTGGTTTGGAGCCCGGGTTAGCGCTCTGTTGATCCCCAGCAGCATTAGCGGCGACCGGGATATGAATAATAGACATGGTGATAGGATTCGAAGCGTAAATCCCTTACTCGCAGCGAAACGATTCCAAGAAATGCTAAAGATTGGCGGGATGTGGTTTGGGATGGAGTAGCCTTTTCGATAAAGGTAAAGTATAGGTATCTTTAAAATCATTAACTGCTCGTCAACATCTTATAAAGGTCTGACTCCAACAAATTCATTTGTTCCCGTCATGACATCTACGCACTGGTGTGGAGAGCTTGCGCTCCGCAGCTGAGACGGGGGTGTCACCCATCGGCAATTGGTGCTTACAGCCAGCCGACCAGGAGACCCTTCACTCGCGACATTTTCCAGGTAGGCACGGAAGATAGCCGATGGTCGGCAATTTGGATTATTTCCATTCGATGAGACTTGGCCGCTACTCACCACACGGTATTGCTAATGGCTAAGCTCATTACCTTGCTTTCAATCTGTCAGTCAGCTTTTCTTATCATCCCTTTCTTCTGCTGATATTATGAAGTTCTCGTTCCACTTCCGTATTCCCTTGTCGGCTAATTCGATCATTCATGAGTTCCAGCGGCGGCGCGCCCGAGACATCTCAGTCATATCATCCACAATTTCCACTCGAATTGTCCTCTTTTCCCCAGACGCGCCCACGCAGTAACGTTGTTCAGTTGGGAATTCGGTGAAACACCCCAGCCTTCGACCTCCACTCAAGTGCTTCAGCTGAAAGTCTCTACTCGTCGATACAGCCGACCTCGAATCAGTTGGTTAGACGACTACCAATGAGCACTTCTCCCTCTGAAGCCGATGGGAGCTCACCCGGCAGCACAAGCTCAGTTTCAGCCGACGGTCTCCCCATTATTGCCGATGAACGGCCCTCCCTAGACGCCGCCGGATTTGTCGGTACCACCGCGTCCGCAGCGGCGGCGACGGCGGCGCGCACGGGCGAGGGTCGGAGTGGACCACGTTCAAGAAATGGGTGTTGGACTTGCCGCACAAAGAAGGTCAAATGTGATGAGCAGCGGCCAAATTGTCATCGTTGCACACGTCTGCGGCTTCTTTGCGACTATGCACCTCGCGTCAAGCTTACAAAGAGGGGCAAGACACGCAAAGATCGGCTCTTTTCGTCTCACCCCCACACGTCGTCGTCTTCCTCGTCGGCTGGAGGAGTTGGCACGTCACTCAGCTTGCCGACATGGGTGCAGACAATGTCTCAGCTCAATCAGTCTAAGGCTCTATCACTGTTTAATCCGTCAGCTCCGGGAATGGGGGCTTGCTCACTTGATCTTTCGTCGGCTGATCACGAGGCAATCCGGTACTTTCGCACATCATTCGCCAAACAAAACCACACCAAGAATCCGGACTACTCACTGTACTCCATCATGTTCGACATTGCCCAGACCGATCCTATGGTCATGCATGTGGTACTTGCCCTTGGGGGCCGGGAGCTGGAATTCCGGCGCAACAAAAATGCAGAAGAGGCGCGTGGCCCAAGAACGCCCATTCAGCATTACTCTTCCGCTCTCCGAATGATGGCCGACACCATCGGAGGTGAGGACAATGGTCAGCTGGATCTTGATGCAGTCTGTACAGGATTGTATCTCATGCTCCTCTATGAGCAAAAGTATGGAGATGGAAAGTGCCAAGGCTTGTCCAATCATCTCGTCGGCGCGAGTTTGATATTACAACACCGCTTCAAGCATTTACTACTTCAATTACCGGCGCCCTCACCGGAGGCGAATCGGAAAAGCTTAGCCCTCACGAGGCGAGGACAAGATGCGAGTGGTTCCCGCCTATCTCTGTACTCGGCAAGAATGCTTGTTTGGATCGCGCTACATGATGCCGCTGCCGCTTCATACGGCCTTGGCGGACAACTCAACTGCGCCCTCCACAAAATCATGGGTGCCCTCGATGGCCAGGTTGGCAGTGGAATATCCAGCCCATTTCAACCGCTCGACGCCTTCGAGAGGTTACACCGTTTCTCCAATCCACTTTACCGGAGTATGTGGGCTGATTCATACCCTCAGGCGGAGCTTCTCGACGACGTGGAGAATAGGAATGTTTATGCTCTTTTGGGAGCATGCGGCCAATTGCGCTTCATGATTGCCCAGCTCGCTAATCTCATACATGAAGATGATACCTCGCAACAACAGCGCGTCATGGCTGTCGATATGACCATTCAACAAGTGGGTTGGAAATTCACCGAACTACTGGAGGTCGCAGCAGAGCTTTCTATCAGCACGGATAACTCACATCGGCTAGTAGCCAACATTCGCGGCATCGTACCTCACTATCATGCCGTCGTTCTCGAATTTCTTCGTTTGACGCGATTTGATGCCACGCCAATGCTCTCAGCTCGTCAACGGAACGCCTTGCGAGAAATCATGAATCTGGCTTTCCAGGCCTTCAAGCATGAAGGCGACGAGGCCATGACACGCATCGCATGGCCACTCTTCATGGTTGCTTTGGAGACAGACGACTTACTGCACCGCGAATGGGTTATCAGCCGCTTTCAGGCCATGAGTCGGTTCAGTAAGAACCTCGACAGGGCCCATATCTTTCTCAAGGACATCATAGAGATGCAGAACAATCTTGCGAGACGGGTAGACGTTCGTGAGCGGTTTCAATCCGGCGAAGTGGGCCTCTTTGTTATCTGAGCCACCAGTATGAGTTTGGTGTTTGTCCGGTTCCCCCAAGCAGGCTGGAAGTAGCGTCTCCCGCCACGATAACCATGATCCTTCAGAACTAGAGTCCGGCATGTTTCCCCGCATCATTGGAAGATGACATGGGCCGGCACGGCGGACATGTGGATCGGCTAATGTCTATCCCCCCAGAGCTGCGTCGGCTATCAACTATTGCTATCAGTGACAAGCTGATCAGCCACTTGTCAGAAGCTTCGTACTGGTACACGACTTCCGGTCAGAGAGCTGTTGGTTCCGCAATGACTCGACAATCAACCCCACAATATGTTCGCAAGTGGCCAATTCCGACACCTTTCGTGGGATTTTGACCGATGCTGGACTACTATTGAAGTGAGTGAGGTTGCGCCAATTGCGTTTAAGCCTGAAGTCCTTGGAACAACAAGCTTTATGAAGAGGGCGCATAAATAGCATCGATCTTGGCCGCCTATGGAACTTATAGTCTCACTAAAGTTCACGGAGGCTCTCCTTGCAATTATCCCTACAACTTTGTGTATTCTCCTTCACCGCCCGCAATCGATTGATCTTTACCCTTCAAAATGTCAGAGAAAGATGGCAAGCCTCATCTGGATTTGGGTCCAGCCGATGAGACATTGAAAGTTATTGGTGAAGACACTACCTCGATCCGAGGTCTGGCTCACAGCGAAGACAAGAGGATTCTCCGAAAGGTCGATTTATGGTAATTAAGGGGTCCCAAATCAAACCCTACCCTGGTTAGACATACACTGATTTCAAGCCACAGTCTTTTACCAGTAATGGCCATGTCGTACCTTTTCCAATTCCTTGACAAATCAGCTCTTAGCTACACAGCTATCATGGGCTTGCGGGATGACTTGCATCTCAATGGTTCCGAGTACTCTTGGGCAAGCAGTATCTACTACTTCGGTTACCTCATTGCTTCGTACCTTGCAGGAGTCATGATGGTCCGACTTCCTGTCGGTAAGATGATTGCGGTCTCAGTGTAAGCACTTTTCCCTTGCCAACGAAGCTAAGGCTCATGACTAACCGTAAAAGCCTTGTTTGGGGAATTGTCCTCATGTTCACTGCGCTTTGCTCCAATGCTGGTGGTTTACTGGCAAACCGGATCATGCTGGGCGTTTCCGAGGCCGCCATCGCGCCAGGCCTCAGTATCGTCATCTCCATGTGGTATAAGCGCTCAGAACAGCCTCTTCGACATGGCGCCTGGTTCCTTGGCAATACTGTGGCCGGCATCTTCGGTGGAGTTATTGCCTACTCTATCGGCCACATCGATAGTATAGCTCCATGGAAGGTATTGACTCCATTCACAATCCGCCAAGAGAATTAGTTGCTGACTCTTGCGAGTTTAGGCCGTCTTTCTGATTTTTGGCGGAATCACTACAGCCTGGTCCTTTCCTATCTTTTTCTTCTTACCTGACACGCCATTGAAGGCTCGATTTCTCAACGAAGCTGATCGTATCAAGGCCATTGAGCGCGTTGAGGAAAACCTGACGGGGATCAAAAGTGACACGTTCAAGTGGTATCAGTGCGTGGAGGCGTTGACTGACATCAAGGCTTGGCTTCTCTTCGGCATCCAGATCAGCGCCCAGATTGCCAATGGTGGCGTCCATGGGTTTGGGTCTATCGTTATCAAAGGAATGGGCTTCAGCACTCTCAACACCCTCCTTGTGCAGATGTTAGGGTCGGTCTTCCAGCTCATATTTGTCTTGATGGCCACTGGAGGAAGCACCTACTTTCGCAATAGTCGCACCTATTGGATGGCACTGAACCTCGCCATCTCCATCGCCGGTGCTGCCATGGTTCGCCAGATACAATCGGAACTCAAATGGGCACGGTTTATGGGGTACTGCCTGACAATCGCGTACAGTGCCAATTTCCCCATGATCCTATCCATGTCCTCTGGCAATTTTGGCGGATTCACCAAAAAGACTACAGTGAATGCAATGGTAAGTAAATCATTTCCATGGTCGATGGATCTGAGACTGATTTAAGTTTGATAGATTTTCATAGCCTATTGTGCTGGTAACATTATCGGTCCACAATTATTCTTCGAGTGGGAAGCACCATCTTACAGCTCCGGTTTCTTGGCCATGTTGATATGCTATAGTCTTGGAGTCTTAATGTGCTTCGTCCTTCGTTACTATCTGGTTTGGGAAAACAAGCGACGTGACAGCGTTAGAGAGGAGCTTGACACGGGCGTTGGAAATGACGTGTCCTTGAACCTGCTCGATAAAACGGACAAGGAAATTCCCCAGTTCAGATATGTCTACTGATCATACATCATATGCCCAGGGATAGATATGGTATCGAAGCTGCTGTTTGTTCCGCAAATCTCTGTTCGATTATCAAAACCAATTAATGGTCAACGAGCTCATAGAACAAAGTATCATGTGCGGACTCGGTGCAATATCTGCGACCATGAGGAGTCCACCAACGAGACAAATCACTCCAGCTCCCATACAAGCGGCTCCTCGTCCCTCATTGCGCGCCATTTGTTGGTCGCTCTCATGACATCCTCACAACCCTTGAGCAGGAAGCTCCATTTCTCGACAAACTTTTCCGTGACCTCCCAACCATCAGGATGCCAAGGGTCCGACCAAGCAATAATACCCGGCTGGTTAAGACAGGCATCGCCTTCTTGGCAGCCCACTAAGTCAGCACAAAGATCATGCTGGCTGAACTGATCACGGAACTTGATAGCGTTATCGCGCATGCCGCCCGATGGGAAAATGTCAATCCAACATTCGTGGGGGGTCGAGCTTTGCGTGGGGGTGGGCTTCAAAGTCTCTGGCACTTGACAAGGTGTCGGAAATAGTGGTGTTGTGTGAAGGTCTGGTGTACATGGACTGGTGAGCAAAGAAGTGAGAGAGAGAATGTGAATGTTGGTAATCGTTGCCCTGAAGACATTGTAGAAGACCAGCGGAATGAGGTGTTCCTTATACAGAGGGAACCATGTGGTTGGATTCCGGAAGTAAGGCGGCACATGCTTTGCTGAACTCGACTTGCCATTATGATGGTGACGTGTAGGTCGCTGTGCCTGTGCACATATCACGAAGCGCTTCGCAGCAACGCGTAGGTGAGCTTGGCTCTCATCTCTTTCAGAACGAGGCTTTAAAGAGCGGTGCGGTTTAGTTGCACGCTGCGTCGGTGGAGCCCAATGTACGAAATCTAGACTTGTTCCCGAGCTCAAGCTAGACCGTGATTCTTTGTGAGAAGACCCATATGACATATCAGCCGTTGATGTTTCCGTCAGCTCATTTTGATGCAGTTCAATGGCCTTTCGCTTTCCTGTTAGCCGCGTCAGCTTTGTCTCGCTAGTGCTGAACCTGGTTGGGGGGCGTTATACTGTAGGCTCTGACATTGAGGCGATTCTGTCTCTTGCGTCTTTCTGCTCGGTCACGAAGACCAGTCCAGTCATCGTCCCGGCATTGTGCTTCCGAGGAATGAAGCATGGGTGCCGAGACAATCATTTGTGGTTCCCGTTCCAAACCGTGCATTGCGGAACTTGAGAAGTATGGAGCGGCTGACGCGTCAGGTTCTCTAGTTGGCGTAGTTCAGCCAGACAGAAGTTACAACTCTTGATCGAACTATCCAGTGCAGATAGAAGATGAGTTTGAGTGAAGCACGTTGATGGAATCTCAGACGAAGTTGCTGTTGGATCCTGCCAACTGCCAAGGGTGCGTGTGTCAAGGACTCAGGGATTGTTTAACTCCTTTATCCCCATTAAGTGGGGCTACTGCAATGCAATGGGCTTACAGCGCTTTCCCTATTCCGGACAAACCTCTTGGTCAGTCAAAGATGTTCAGGACCAATGACAGCGCCTTTTTGTGTGGGGGCTTACCGCCATGGTCGTGGATGTTTTGATTGATTCTCCCTACCATCTTCGTGCCAGGCTCCGATGCCCACGTGGAAGTAATACGTGTACCTCAATGTGCCAGCAAGGCTCAGGATGTCGTCGGGGAATTTTATTCCACAGGAAATGGAGAGAAGAAGAAGCTCGGCTGTGGACATGCTCTTTCACTTTCAGATTTGCTGAGGGGAGGATCGAGGCTGGTGTCTCACCGGAAACTCTATGATCCCAGACGAATAAACACAACAATGGTTCAAATTTTCTGTGGTTCAAGTTTTCCACACTCCGATTTCGAGGCTTTAGTATGTTGGGCAGACTTCGACGGTCTTGGGATATGGTCCTGCAGTTCACGTTTAGCAGAGTAGTTAAAAGATACATTTTTTGTCTTCATCGTTCACCCAGAACGGCTTTTATAAGCCGACTGCATTGGCACAGGTCCGCGATCTAACCAACGTAAAGGCAAAGACACTGCAGCCGTCTTGCGACGTTATTATCCTCAGCCATGTTTGCTAGCCCCCATAATGTAAGGTATGTTTGCGAATCTTCCCGATTTGCGAAAACTTCCTTGAATTCCTATCTCCAGCAAACTTGTCAGGGATAAACGCCACAATTATTTGAGCATTGGTGTCCCAATGGTTGATGGCGAACCATATTCAGCCATGCAGAGGGAATTGCCACTGCAACAACTAGTTTCAGGCTCAACATGGAGCAAGCGCGGCTGAATATAAGAGTCTCTCCTCTTGCATAGCCCGAGTACTAGGCTGCTAGGATGTGCAGAGTTATTGGCCAGCCAAGCCAGTCTTTCCGTAGCTGATAGCCGCATTGGTAACAGCGTCTTATCTGATCTCGACCATATGTCTCAGTGCTTCCGCTTTGTGTCTAGCTGATCTAGTCTCATTTCTTTCACATGCCATGTGAACCCACACCCATATTCACCGTGGGGTGGCCGAGACGTGTGCCTAGCTTGGGACCATGGGCTTGGGATGGGAGGCTGGACTCGTCTGGCTTCGCTTCTGGACCCTCTTGTCAACAAATCTCCCATAGGAACGCAGCGAGCCGGTGCTGCATCCCGAAAAGAGCTGATGAAGCTACATCTAGACCATCTCGTGAGCTGGTCTTGACCCCACCACCATCGAGTATATTACACTCACGTTGGTCACCTCTACGATGCATCGTGTAACCATCACCGGAATCCTCTCCACGACACTCCTTCAGTTGCGGTATCGTCCCATTGGCCTTTTTGATTTCCCCAGTGGCACTTTTTCTCTGTACTCACAAGAATAACTTCGAATCGGCAAATCGGTCGACATTTCATTCACGACCTAACCACTTACACAATCATGTTGAGACCTATTAGCACCGCCGCAGCTTTGCTGGCTTTACTGTCAACGTCTGAAGCACAAATACCAAAAGTCAGCGGCTTCAATTTGGTGTGGTATGACGATTTCAGCGGCAAGGCCAACACGGTTCCAGACCAGAATAACTGGATTATCGACACTGGGACCAGTTATCCCGGCGGTCCAGCAAACTGGGGCACATCGGAAATCCAGTCATACACCAACAGCCCCAACAATATCCGAGTCAATGGCGCTGGAAATCTTCAGATCACCGCCATCAAGAACCCTTCCACGGGAGCATGGACTTCCGGGAGGATTGAGACCCGCAGAGCCAATTTCATGGCGCAGCCGGGGAAAACCATGCGGATCCAGGCTAGTCTGAAGATCCCTAATCTTGGAGCCAACGCCGGTATTGGCTACTGGCCCGCGTTCTGGACCCTGGGCGCTGAGTTGTTGTTGTTGTTGTTGTATTTAACGCCGTGGCGGCCGGGCTAGAGCCCTTACCGCAGACCTCCCGAAGGGTATATGGCGTGGAGGGCCGTGAGCCAAGGCTACCTACTCTACAGTACGTCGTCTCTTTACATCGTCCTCCAAATCATGCCTTGTGGCCACTACGCGTTCTGTCTGTCCCCGGTTCCCGCTGGTGCCCCAGTTTCATTCTTTCCCAAATCGTCCCTTGGAATCGGGAGGTTCTTTGTAGTCCGCACTCACATCTACCTAGGTGTGGATGCTGCTACCGCAGACAGATCTTCTGGAAGAAGTCCGTCACGCGGAGAAAGGCCTCGAAGCCTCGTGGGTCGGTGATTAATCTCTTGAAGTAGGCCTCGAGAGATCCCATAGGACCTATGGGCTCGGGCATACTGCGAGAGTGGAGGGTCGGCCACCGTTGCCTCCTCGCCAGCGTTAGTCGACAGTAGACCAGGTGGTCCACGTCTTTCGCCTCTCCACAAGAGCACATCATTAGAGCGTCGTCGTGGTTGAAACGTCGGTGATATTGCTCGAAGTCCCCGTGACCCGATCGTGCCGCCAGCAGGTGATGTAACGTAGCCCGCGGCAAGGCCAGTTCAGGAGGGCTGGACAGAGCTGCCTCAAGCCCCAAGTCCGCGTACCGCGGCCTTCGCTCTTTATACCACCATCTCCTGTGCTGGCTTTGTAATTTTTCCCTTGCAAGCCGCTTGATGCCCGCTAGTGTTGCCATTTGACCCATCCGCGCCGGCAGTGTCGTTCCTTCTTTGGCCAGCCGGTCCGCGGCCTCGTTTCCTTCGATGCCCTGGTGTCCCGGGGACCAGTGCGTCCGTATATCAAATATCCTGGCCGCTTCTTGGATTTCGAGGAACGCGTCTTGTGACGAGTCCGGCGCCTTGCCGCGGATGCCTTGTATAACGCTGGTGTTGTCGATACATATGTGGATTGGATGACCGCGATTGGTGAGCAGAGCCCTTCTGAGGCCGGTTCGCGCCCCTTCGACCTCGGCGTCGAACACTTCTGCTAGTCCGAGTCGGCCGCACCCTTGCGCTATGCGTTTGGAGTCTCGGTAGATGACGAAGCCGTACCCCACGGCTCCGTTCGTCGCCCTGGAGCCGTCCGAGAAGACGATCATATGGCTTTCCGGTACTGTCTTTAGCCAGCGCTCGAAAGCTTTCGCAGCCTCTTCTTTGCATTGAACTACTATCTGATCCTGTGAGCTTGGCAGGTACTGTGATTGGAGGAACGTTGGTCTTCCGCATCTTGGCAGAAGTTCAGCCGTCCGTTGTAGTCTCGTCTGTTGCTGTCCCTGCTGGGAGAGCCGCGCGACTAGCGGGTGTCGGCGATCAATCCTCTGTAGTCGGACTGCGGCCCGTAAACGGACGCCTTCTAAGGCGACTTTGGCTGACGGTAAGCCGGCGTCTCGGAGGAGGCTACTGGTTGGCGTTGTCCTCCAGACAGGTAGAACGATCCTTGCTGCCGCTGTAATGACGCTGTCGATCTTCTGCACGAGCCCCTTCTGGCCTGTGTTGACGGGTCTTCCTTGGAAAGGCGGACTCGTGTCTGTCTCCGCTTGGCGTCTCGAAGCGGC